GAGGGCCCTGAGGCTGTCAAGGCTCCAACCTATGGACACCACGGGGTTAGCCGCCCGGCTGAGGATGCCTCCTTTTGCCTTTCCTGTGTCAGCTTGAATGTGCTCGCCTTGCGGGACAAAGCTGCTAAGCTGCCTGCAGCGCATGTCGGACTTCGGTTGATGGGCAGGAAGGACCTGTTGAAGGCCACTCTTTCCTCTGTGTGCCCCCTCTTCCTCGGGCTTCAGGAGACTCGCCTCCCTGACTCAGAAGTCCAAGCCGATGCTGACTACCTCATATACAATTCAGCCTCGACCGACAGAGGCATGGGAGGTTGTGCACTCTGGATTGCCAAGAATATCCCCCTTTGTCAGACAAGCACCGACAACACTTACATCAAACAGCAAGATGTCACAGTTGTCAGCACATCTCCCAGGCACTTAACGGTTCACATCCAGACCGCTCGACTCCGACTGCAATTACAGGTGCTGCATGCCCCTTCGACTACTTCACACCCTGTCGAAGTCGTGCGATCTTTCTGGGATGAACGAGCAGAAGAGCTGTTGCGTCGTCCCGACGGGACCGATTACATAGTGCTATGTGACGCCAATTCCCGCTTGGGGGACACCATCACGGAGCACGTTGGTGATTGTGGAGCCGAAGCCGAAGGTCTTGCAGGGGGCCTTTTTCATGACTTCCTTGTCAAAATTGACGCCATTGCCCCTTCTACATGGTCCCAATGGCACACAGGCCCGCACGCCACCTGGTTCTCCCCTTTCGACACGCAGTCGCGCATAGACTATGTTCTGATTCCGAGGCACTGGTCTACTGCCGATATTGCTTCTCGCACCTTGCCTGATGTCGAGCTGATGCAATTGCGGGATGATCACGTCCCAGCTCACCTTGTTTGCCGCTTCTCGCGTCGCCTGCCAGGGCTCTCGTATTGCAGCGTCAAAAAGTCAGTGGTCCGACCGGTTGCTCCTGCCGAGAAGCTCTGCGCTAGCCGCGAGCTTACTCATGCTGTGCCCGTCACTCCCTGGAGAACTACTGTTGATGAGCACTACAGCGCTCTTGTTGCCGCTTGGACCCACGTTGGTCAGCGCTTTACTCCTACGGCTGATAGGGCACCCCGACAACCCTATCTCACACAGGCCACCCTTGACATTGTTGACGAGCGGCGCACTCTTCGGGCCAGTCTCAAGGCCCTGAAGGCAGAGACAACCCGCCGCTACCTCATGATCGTGTTTGCTGCTCTTATCGCCCATGCTTC